CATGCAACAGCTTTGGGACACAGCCCAGCACCCAGCAGGCTCTAGGTGAGGGTCAGCTCTCCTTAGTGTGCACCCTGCTTCAAATTTCAGCACAACCACACAGTTTGCTTTCTTGCCTACTGATAGGCCATGTTCTTTACTCCCCATTTTGTAGATGAGGAAACTAAGGCTCAAAGATGGGAAGCACTGGCCACACCAAGCTCTCTGGAGAGAGGGGCTGGGCCTGCCTCACTTTCCACTGAGTTTGCAGGGTGGCACACAGCCGGTGCTCAGCCATAACCTGTGGCCGAATGAATGAATGAATGAATGATGGGTTAATGACTGTGGCTCTATCACTCCGAGGCGCGGTACAGACAGGAAGCTATGCACTTAAGATTCTATTTTAGCTGAAACCTGTTTGGCTCAGTGGATAGAGCATTGGCCTGCGGATTGAAAGATCCCGGGTTCGATTCGGGTCAAGGCATGTACCTTGGTTGTGGACACATCCCCAGTAGGGGGTGTGCAAGAGGCAGCTGATCGATGTTTCTCTCGCATCGATGTTTCTAACTCTCTATCCCTCTCTCTTCCTCTCTGTAAAAAAATAAATAAAATATATATATTAAAAAAAATATTGTCTTCCCACCCTGGTCCCAAATGACCCCCAGTCATTCTTAGAAGTGGCCACTGGAACAGGCAGGCTAATGAGGTAGGGACCAGCACCCGAGCCTCTGTCCCCAATGGGACCCCCTTACCCCAGTTGGACCAAGCAGATGCCTTGGCATTTGCCTTGGGGATCCCTGCCCAGAGGTATGGTGGCAGGTGTGGGCTCAGGAAGCAGCTGCTCGCTCCCTCATCCTGTGCTCTGCCAGCTACCCGCCGGGGGCCTGCCCACCAGATGCAAAATAGATGAGGAGGCCCAGCGGGCAGTGCCTGCCTGGCATTTCGGAGCCACTAATGAGGCCAGCCTCGTGCTTCCTGCAGTGGCACACAGACCCCCAGGGCCCACGGCTCAGTCCTTACAGGGAGAAGCCACCTGAGGACAGAAGCTGCCCACCCAAGCCCCGCACTCATCACAGGCAGCGTGCAGGAGAGCAAGGCTTAAAGGTCTGGGCTCAGGCTGACCACCGTGCCTCTCCTAGACTGTCCCTGTCTACACCAGACAGGTTCCTTCCCTGAGCCTCAGTTTCCTCATCTATGAAATGGGGGAGACAGATGGGGAAGAAGCTGTTTAAAGATGGAATGAAATAATGCAGACGCCGTGCTCAGCCCAGATCGTGGGACCCAGGAAATGCCTCTTATGGGGAGCAACTGGGACCAACGCATTCACGGGGGATATCTCAGGGACCAAATGGGCCCTCCCAGTGGGGCGCCTGGGGCTGGGCAGTGACTGCCGTTCTGGAGGTATTGCGGGCCATCTCCCTCTCCTTACCCCTGAACCAGGACCTCCCTCATTGCTGTGGCCTCCTCACCCCGGGCCAGGTCCCTTGCTTGGCAAGAGGAAAATCTGGACTCACCCCCAGCCCTCACCAACTCTGTGACTTTGGGCCTGAGCCTCCCTTCGCCATCCTCAGTTTTGGGTTTTGGCCTCTACAATGGGGACGCTAAGCCAACGTGCAGGACTGCCATCACAACTGAAGGAGACGACCGTTGTAAAATGCCTGGCACACGGTGGGCACTTGGTCCTTGCTGGGTCCCGCCTCTTCCTTCTCCGAGGCTCCCAGCTTTATGGTCAAAGTTGACTCTTCCCTTCCAGAACCCCCTTCCCTGGACAAGTGCACCAGCCATTCCCCCACCCGAGGGCCACGCCTTCCTCTCCCCACCATTCAAATCCTCCCTCCGTGCCCAGCCCCCTGATTACTCAATGTCGCCGCAATAAATTCTATAAAAAAAAAAAAAAAAAAAACATGTCCAGCCCTCATTCCAGCTACACAACCAGAGTTACCCACTCCCACTGGCTCCCAAGCCTCACACTGGGCCTCATGCCTCATCCCTCTGACACCTGCACACTTGTTCTGAGCTCTTCCACTGCAAATAAGCTGCTGACGAGGTGCAGGGGTGGGGAATTCAGTCATGATCACATCTGGCCCCTACCAGCCTTCACTGCTCCCCGGATACAAGCCCTAGTCTCTAATCCCTTCTTTAAAGGAGTTGGGGAAGCTATACCTTCTCCTCCTCCTCCAGGAAGCCTCTCCAGCTTACTTGACAAAGTCTTACCCGTCCCACTCTCTGGACACATTCGATTCAATTCCACAAACATCCATTAAGCATTTGCTGGGTTTGGGCAGCTGTGCCAGACCGTGTGGAGGACAGAAAGATCAGAAGAGCACAGTCCAACTTGTATGGAACCAGAACTGGAAAGTGGGCCTAAGTCAAAGGTAACTTCCTAGCCGGTTTGGCTCAGTGGATAGAGCATCTGCCTGTGGACTGAAGGGTCCTGGGTTCAATTCCGATCCAGGGCACATGCCTGGGTTGTAGCCTCAATCCCCAGTAGGGGACAGCCAATCAATGATTCTCTATCATCATTGATATTCCTATCTCTCTCTCCCTCTCCCTTCCTCTCTGAAATCAATAATTTATATATATTTAAGTAACTTCTGCTTCCAAAGACTTTAGAGCCTGCTCTGCACTGCAGTATAATGTAGATTCATTCAACTCAGCTGAGGTCAGCTCCCTGGAAGATCCAACTCAACAAGTACGTATTGAGCACCAAGTGGCTCAGAGAGGCGAAATGACCTGCCCAAGATCACATCACTAACATGTGGCAGAGGCCACTTCTAATCTATGTCCATCTGATTCTCAAGGCCATGACTCCCCACTGCCCCAGGAAAGAGCCTAATGTGCGCTCGACAGACATGATAAGGAGAGGTGTTCTAAGGAGAGAAAGATGGGGTGCAGGGATCGGGAAAGAAAACACTCGACAAACAGTGACAAAGGTGGGCTGGAGGCGAAGAACTGTGGACATGGGAAGGGAAGGCATGGCGAGGGGAGGGGAGAGTGTGAGCAAAGCGCAGAGACTGTGATCATAGGGGCCATGTTCCCACTGATGAGAAATGCGGGGAAGGAAGACGTGAGTCCCGGGCTGGAAAAGGAGGGGGAGACAGGCCTTGAATGCCAGGAATCATAACGAATAGTCAAAATGACCCCCATTGTACACTAACGATATGCCAGGCACAGGGTGGGGGCTAAGTAATTGGCTTCCAGAAGTGGGTTGTGGAGGGGGGGGGGAGGGAGGATCTAGGTGTTAGCACCTTAGACAGCAACTCCAGCAAGGAGGTTGTGGGTCATGGACAAATCCTGATTTCAGAATTTTCCATTGCAGGTGTAAACTGAGGCTCAGGGAGGAAAGGAGACTTGCCCAACATCACAGAGAAAGTTAGTTCCTATCAGTTCTGGGGCCTTGTCTCTGACTCTTCACTCAGGGCTTCCTCGATTGGACCCTCTGGGTCACCCTCCATCTTCAAGTCTTCCCCAGTGCATCCTTCACTCTGACTGCTCTGCGGCCTGGACGCCTGGACAGAGCGGTGAGACTCTGGGCTCTGCAGAGACTAGAAGATCTGGGTTTAAACCCCAGCTCTGCCACTGACCAGCTGTGTGGACCCGGGGAAGTCCATGCCCCCCTGAGCATCACGGTTTCATCCGTAATCAGAGGTAACGGTCCCTAACTCGGGGATGTGGGAAAGGTTCTGGGAGGTGATGTAGTTTAAGCACCTGGCAGTACCCGGTCACAGCAGGTGCTTGACAGGTGGCCGTTGTGGGGGTGCTGTTACTGAACCCCTTGAGGAAAAGACGGCGTCTCCCTCCCCTCCCCCCGACCTCTGCTCTGGGCCCAGCACAGTCTTGCACAGAGCAGAAGCTCAAAGGGCACAGCAGCAGGGTCTGTAAGCCCAGAGAGGGAGAGGAACTGGCCCCAGGTTACAAAGCGCATCAAGGGAGAAGAAAAGGGCAGACCCCGGAGCCCAGCCTGGGCACCCCATGTGCTTCCCACCCCAGAGAGGGCTTCCTGGGGGCAGTAATGCCAGATAGGAGTCGCCCAGCAGCTGGGGGCCCTGCAGAGCCCGGGGACCCTGGGAAGCCCTCAGCGGGGGCGGGAAGCAGGAGCCAGAGCCCTCGGGGGCTGCCTGATGGAGCTGAGGTGGCAGCAGGAGCAGCCAGCTGGGCCCGTATGGAGCTGGTGCCAGGGAAGCCAGGCAGCGCCAGGGGTGCTGTGAACCCCGGGGTGAGGCTGCACCTCCACCCACTGCTCTCAGTGCTGGGGAAGCTGCAGGCACCACCGCCTCCTGCCCTCCTCCCCCACAGGAGGGCCGCCCTGCCGAGGACACGGGCTGGAGGGGAGGCATCGGAGGGCTGTGCATGAGGTGGAACTGGAGGGCGTGGGGGGTCAGCCCAGAGGCTAAGGGCCCCCCCAGCCCAGCCGGGAGCCGCCACGAGTGGAAGGAATGGAGGAGAGAGAGGAAGGACAGCCTTCCAGCGAGGGCCTCAGTATGCCGGGCCGTTTGTTTTGTTTTTACAACGTCCACTGTCGCCCAGGCACTCCCGTCTCCACCGCACAGAGGAGAGCACCGAGCTGTGGAGAGGTTAGTGCTGTGGTCGGCAAACTGCGGCTCGGGAGCCACATGCGGCTCCCTGGCCCCTTGAGTGTGGCTCTTCCACAAAATACCACGGCCCGGGCGAGTCTATGTTGAAGAAGTGGCGTTAGAAGAAGTTTAAGATTTAAACATGTGGCTCTCCAAAGACGTTTCAGTCGTTTGTCCTGTTGCTATTTGGCTCTGTGGACGAGTGAGTTTGCCGACCACTGGGTTAGCGGGTTGCTGAGGGTCACACAGGCAGTGGCAGAGCTGATATGTAACCTGACTTGCCTGACTCCCCGGCAGAGAGCTCTGGAAGGAAACCTGGGGGGACGATACGTGGGGGGCATCCCCTGGAGAGAGTGTCCAGAGGTTGGCGGGTCTGGACTGGCGTTATCGGGGGTAGCAATGAATAGCTCAAGACTGCCCCGCCCAGCAGCTCCCCCCAGCACTTACCACACACTCCGGCGAGGGGTGAAGGACTTGTCCACCCTGAAACACAGCAAGAGGGGCAACAGGTGAGGAAGCAGCCCCTTCTGACCCGGACTTACTCCCCCACTCACCCTCCACCCAGAGGCGGCCGGAGGAGGTGCTCCGTGCCATGTCACTGCCCCCCACCGGCTACAGGGGCCCCAATGCCAGATGAGGGGCACGGGAAGGTGTGGGGTAAGGAGTAAGGAAAGAGGCAGGATTGGGGACCCAGGGGTAGGGAGCAGGGGCCCGGGGCCAGGCTATGTGGGGGTCCTGGAGCAGGTAGAGAGGAACAGTGGCCACAGCCTGTGGGGTCAGAGCAAAGATGTGGGGTGTGGCTGAGGCCCCTCACAGTGTTTACAGACGAGACTAAACACGTGGGGGTTTAGGAAGAACCCTCCACACACACTCCCCCACTCCCCCACTCCCCCCTCCCCACCCCTCCCCGCCTTGATCTTGGAGCTGGAGCTACGGTAAGCCCAGGGAATGTGGGAGCAGGAGGCCCCAGGGGCTTCCTCCCCTACCGCACCCCAGCACACACCCTGCCCCCAGAGCAGAGCCAGAGCAGGTCCTCAAGCTCCCAGAGCTCAGCGGTACCCCCAGGCTTTATCCCCCCCACCCCTCCGGGTCCCCCTTCAGAGGGAGTGGGTGGATTCTCCCCGGACCCACCCCTGAGGGCACCTTGGGGCTGGGCACCTTGGGGCTGGGCGGGCTGGAGAGCGCTCCACCCTCCTGCCCAGCGGGGGGCCTAGGGCTCAGCAGCTGTTGGGACAACAAATAGCTCTTGCCTCCTGCCCAGAACCCAGAGGAGGAGAATGGCAAAGGGGCACCAAGCCAGACTCCGCCGGCGAGGGGGCACCCTCTGGGGAGACAGGACGGGGTCTCCCCGGGGGTCCGCTGGGGTGGACTCTGCAGACTGGGAAAGTGAGGCCAGAGAAGCCAGGACTTGCCCAAGGTCACACAGCAGAGCCTGTCCTGCCTGTCCGAGTCCGCTGACCAGAACCCCTGCGGGCTCACCTGGCCCCGGACTGAGGCAGCCGGGAGGCTGGGTGTCCAGAGAGGGCAGGCACGCAGGACGCAGTGCCCACAGCTCAGAGAGCACCTCGCCTGCACCAGCAGCGTGACAGGCGTGAACCCCACCTGCTGCACACCCCAAAGGCGTGTGTCCCTCCAACTGCAGGGAGGCAGGGCCTGGTGACGGCTATGCAACTACCTGTCCAGCCAGGAAAGGGGCTCTGGCCCAGGCTGCCTACCCATCTCCCTTCCCATTTACCAAATCTCTGCCTGAGGCCAGAACCCCACCCCCCTGGCATGCCTCTGCACCCCTCTGAGCTGGGCACTTGAAGTCAAGAAGGATGGTGACCTCAAGATGTACAGTCACCACTCCAACTACCTCCACCCAGGTCTCCAGATCTCCAGGCCCTGGCACCCAATAGCCCTGGGGAGAGGGGGGGGGGGTCCCTGGGAGACGGGGGCATGGCATAGGGGCAGCCCAAGGGATGGGGTGGACAGGACTGGGGGAGGGGGGAAAGGCTGCAAATGGCTTCTAGGTTCCCTTCTTCCAAAGCCCCAGTGCAGGGCCCCAGCTGATCAGAGACCAAGTGGGGTCCCCTGCAGGGCCTCCCTGACCTGCTCCCGCCCACCCCACTATGCATGCAGCCAGGAGGGCACACACACAGGCCCGGCCTCCGACCACACACCAGGCTCATGCCTTAGAGCCCGCGCCAACTTGGGACACAAACACGGGAAGTTCCGACCCCACACGTGCCCGTGGACACCCAACCGCAGCGCGCAGGGGCGCACACACCAACGGAGCTGACCTCCCGGCGCTCACCCCCCAGCAGCTCACAACTCACAGCCACACTCACCACCGGGCACCGGGCACCGGGCACCCGGACCCGAGCCGCGCGCCCGCGGGCGCCCCCGCCCGGCGCACCTACCCGCCGTACGCCCCGAAGGTGAAGCTGCGCTTCCGGCAGCTCATGGCGCCCCCGCGGCCGCCCGCCCCTCTGGCCGCAGCCGCCGGAGCCGCCCTCCCCGCCGCCCGGTCACCCTGGCAACCCGGCCGCCCGCCCCGCCCGCCCCGCCCGCCCCGCCCGGCCTGTCCGCCCCGCCGGCCGCGGGCCAGCTCCGCCGCAGAAAGGGCCGCTTGTTCCCGCGCTCCCGGGCGGGGGCTTCGCGGGGCTCTCCCAGCTGGACCGGGGGCGGGGGGGGGGGCCGGCGGGGAAGGAGGAGGGAGGGGGTAGATGAGACCCACTCTTCACCCCCAGAGGGGTGGGGGGTGGGGGGAGCGCGGGCCGCAGACCCTCCTCGGGCGGCGCCTCTCCATCCCCCGCAAGCGCGGTGGGTGGACCTGCCCCGTCGCCACAGCGAGCTGCGAGCTGCTCGGGTCAAGAACTTGGACTCCAGGCCCCAGGGTCGCAGTGTGGGCAGTCTGCGGCCCCCCGGTGCGGTGCGTTCCTCACATTTCTGGTCTGTGAAATGGGACTCACCTCCTCCCTGCCCCCTCCCCGCCCCTTGAATGAGTTAATACAATAATGGAATGAGTTAATACAATAATGCTTCATGAATGTCCCGCACTAGGTAGCAGCTCTGCTCAGGCCAGTGAGAGAATGAAAGATACACCCCCTCCTTTGGGGCGCACTGGCCCTGCCCCCCAGGGCTCCCCTCCCCCTTCCAGATGCCCACCCAGGGAAGCCACCAGAGCTCTCAGGTTTTCCACGGAGTTTTCCACAGGTTAAAAGGACTACAGGGAGCTGAAACCGGTTTGGCTCAGTGGATAGAGCGTCAGCCTGGGGACTGGAAGGTCCTGGGTTCGATTCTGGTCAAAGGCATGTACGTTGGTTGCGGGCACATCTCTGGTTTGGGGGGGGGGGTGCAGGAGGCAGCTGATCGATGTTTCTCATTTATGTTTCTAACTGTCTATCTTTCCAACTCTCTCCTCCTCTCTGTAAGAAATTAATAAAATATATATATATTTTAAAAAGACTACAGGAAGCAGATGCAGTGGGGGGACACGGAAGGAAGAACGGACAGCCAGGGGCATGATGACAGGGTGAGAGGGATGCTTCAAAAGCCTTTCAGGAACTGTTTAGCCAAGCCCTGGGCCAGGGCACAGCGCCATCTTCCCTGGTCTGGGTACATCTTCCCCCAGGCAGGGGGAGGCGGTGCAGAGCGTGAAAGAAGGAACGGACCCGTGTTGCCCAAGAAAAAGAAAATAATAAAACATAAAGTGTTAAAAACATTTCAGATGAAGACCCCAGACCAGAGCAATCACTGCTCTCTTGCGGGGTCCACCCCCGGCCTCTTCTCTGCCCCCACTCGGGACCATCTCCTCGCTACCCGCCCTGGTGGGCAGAGGAGCCTGCAGAGCCCCTTGCAGGGTTCAGACCCCCAGCAGGGCAGCCCGACTTCCTTGCCCTTAGAACTACCCGCTGGGTTTGGCTCTCAGCGGGGGGGTCTGGCTCCCTCTCGACAGGGTGCTCCGGAACCAGGGCAGATTCCTGGGTGGAGGGACGTCCTGGGCAGTGAGAGATGCCCACTCCCCACAGGGCAATCCAATATGGCCCCGAGGGGCACCGAGGTTGGCCTGAGAAGGGAGGACATCTCTCCCTCCTGAGTGGTGGCAGTGGGGAAGGGGGGCAGAGAGCCGGAGGGAGGGAAGACCAGGAGCCAGGCCTGGGCTTGGGGACGTGCTCGGTGCCAGGGCTGGGACCCAGGACTCCAGCCACATCCAGGCTGCCGCACCCACCCCCTAGGACAGGGCCCTCTGTCTCGGGTCTGTCTTGTCCGTAGGAATGACTCATAAGTGGGCTCTGCGTGTCCACTTGGCAGGCTGGCCAAGGGCCTCCATGTGCCAAGTTTCCCAGCCGGGCCGGCCCCCGGGAGATCCTGCTGGTGCTGGGACAGTGGGCCCTTCAGAAGGGCCGTGGGGGCCACAGGATTCCCACCGAGGACAAAGAGCCCAGTGTGGGCGCCCTCCTCTTGGGTTCCGACCAGCTGCAGCTGCCTCACTGGCAGGAGTGGGGGGAGGGGAGGGGAGCGGGGAGGTCACGTTCCCTCCGCCAGGAAAGCACCTACATTCCCTGGCCGCACCTGGCCCCTCAGGCAACAGCATAACTGAAAAGCACCTTCTTAACCTGCAAGGTCACTTCCAAGAATGCAGCCTCTACGTCAGGGCATGTGCGCCTGGAGATAAAAGGCCAAGGACAAGGGACAGAGAACCACAAGTCTCTGTCCTCATGCCTGTGAAATGTCCGCCTCACCCTGCTTGAATCCCAGCCCTCCCGCTGGTCTGCGGGGTGACTTTGGGCAAGTCGCTTCGATCTTTCTGCACCTCGGTTTCTGCATCTGCAAAACGGGGTTGATGATGAAGAGAACAGCACTTCCTTCGAAGGGTTTTGCCGAGGACTGGCTTTAAATGGATACTTATAAAGCACGAGAATAGTATTTGAATAGCATGTGCTTATTATTAGAGAAAGCACTTGCTGTAGCATCCTCTGTATTGGGCTAAACTGTATGAAATCACCATTTATGTAGTTAGCAAAGAGTTATAGTAAGAATTCCAAAACAAACTAATGGCCATCCAGAGGGCGTCAGACAAATAAATCAAGATCCGTTTATACCACGCAATGCCATCCAGCTGTTGGAAGGAATGGGCCAGGTCTAGGTGTGGACATCTGGACCAACCTACAAGGCAGACACACACACACACACACACACACACACACACACACACACACACAATGGACAAGGCTTTGACACTTCCTAGCTCTGAGATCTCAAACACTTTAGTTAATAGCACCCCGAAAGCCGGCCTCCCACTGTGACCCAGAGTCAGCACAGAGCCCGTGCTCGCCAATGGCACCAGGAGGTCATTGCCACCTCTGGGATGGGACAGAGCTCCCTTCTCCCTTTCCCTCCAGCCTCTCACCTAGAAAGCAGAGCCGGGCTGCCCTCCAGGGGCCTGGCCCTCCTCCTAGCAGGCAGCCTCCTCTGCTGGACCTCCTAGGATTGCACCTGAGCCTGTCAGGCGCCAGACTCTGTGCGAAGGAAGGGAGGGTACAGCATGGCGTGCTCAGAGCTCTCTCCCCAAGGTCACCCTGGGTTCAGCTCTGGGAGTCCCACCCACTTGCCTCCAGCTCCCACTTCCCAGCCCACAGCAGGGAATGTGATCGAGGTGCAGATTCCTGGGAAGATCTCAGGCCCGGGCTCCAGGTGGGACTGCTGGGTCAGTTCTTACCAGGGTCTCCGACAACCTCCCCTGCCCAGTCATTCCCATTCAGGGGATCTGTCTCAGCTGCCTGGCCAGCAGCCCACTGTGTGGCTCTGCAATAATCCGTCTTCCTCCCTGGACCTCAGTTTGCTCATCTGATGAACACCCCCTCTCACCTTGCTGGGTTCGAGACAAAATAATGGAAACATGCATTTGCCTTCGGAGGATTCCATTATCCGCTCTCCATTATCAAAATATCATTAGCCGTAGCCATGGTCTTTGTAGCCAAGCCACACCCACCCAATCACATGCTGTACACCCTGAGCTCCTGGAGAAGGAGTCTGGGGGTGGGGGGGACCTCAGGCCCTGGGGAGGGAGGGAGAAGTGGGTGCAGCTTGGCTCACACCATTTCCCCAGCAACTGTCCAGTGAGGTTCACAACCCAGCCATCCCCTGTCCTGGCTCTCAGACTCCTTTACTCAATGGGTTCCTGAGACACCTGCCTATTCACCGTGTCCCCTTCAGGGACCAGGACAATGTGGCCCGGACACAATGGTCAGAATAAATGCCTCCACTCAGGCCAACACCCCTAAGGATGTGCTCTGGTCCCCAAAGGGACCATGTGCCTCCATAGGTCCCTGAGAACAAAGCGCTTCTGGAAACACAGACACCAAAGGGCATGTCTGTCTTCCTTCCTCAACTGTTCAACTAACCCTAATGAGCATCCACTGTGCACCTGGCACTGCTCAGGCTCTCGTGACAGAGGATAACAAGGCATCGAGTCTGGGAGAATCTGTGTGCACACCTGCACAGGAACCTCACTAACACACATGCACCTGCCCTTGTATCGTGCACAGAGGCATCTAACTCATGCCCTCAGAGGTCAGAGCAGATCAAATTCATGCAGATCTGCCCGCATGAACGTCAGTCCCTACACAGCAACCCCACATGCACATACACATGCAAAAGTCACATCAAGCTCACACCCATACGTTCCAAAACCAGCGTGTGTTCACTTCCTGACTGTGGCTAGATTTGGACACACATGTGAACACACACCAATGACAACAGATTCATGCACAGAAGTCACAGACCTACACACCCTTAGATCACATTATGCTCACATGTACATAATATACAGACATACTGTGCACACACACACATACACATACAAATGCACATACACATGCACACACATGCACATATGCACACCCAGTGCCCAGATAACTACTGGGAAGAAATAAAGGTAGGAGAGGGATGGCTCTTTGGGGGTTGAGGGCTGTGCAATGACTGCACCCCAATGAGAGGGAAGCCAGGGCCCTTCTCACACATTGTAGGCTGGAGTCCAGCCAGCCTTCCTCTGTACCCCCTGCTAAGGGCAGCCCCAACCCCCACCCGCCGCCCATTTTCAGAAGCATGTAGGCTGAGCTAGAAGGGAGACTGCTTGATGCCCAAAGCTCTACCCAGTGCAACTAGGCTTACTGAGCCCGTACTAAGGGGGCAGGAGACCTGGGTTGGGGCCCCAGCTCTGCTGGTCACTCATTGTTTTCTAGCACAGACTCTTCCCACTTTGCCTCTGTTGGTCCATCTGTAAGATGGGTGATGGGGTGCCCTGACAGTGCCTTAAGTTTCCACCCTCCCATTCAGCCAGTCCAGGATTCTGTGAGCCCCTCTCCACCCAGCCAAGGTCCCCCACCTTGACAGTCATTCTCAATGGGGGCGTCACTGCTTCCTAGGGGGCACTAAGAAAATACATGAGGCCCTAACCAG